TGAGGCTCAAAGAAATTATAAACTTGCCATGATTATTCTGTTCTCTCTGCCTCCTGTTCCACACAACAATGCTGGAGATCACAAGAGTGAATCATGTCAAATTGAGGATGAGGCACCATAACTTAGGAAAAGCCCTTCTATCTCTAGAACATACCCAAATGCTCCCACCAGAGCCATTCTAGTCCACGCAACCATTAGCACCCACCTGAACTACTGCAGTGATCGCCCTCTTAGAATTTCTGCTCCTTCCCCCTGCTTTGCATCCATTCTCCAGACTGAGCCTGCAGCCAAACCTATCTTTTTCATTGTAAGTCCAGTTCTACTCTCCCCTGCTTAAAACTATCCAGAAGCTTCTTCCTCTTCTTTTTCTTGTTCTTGTTTTTTTTTGTTTGTTTGTTTTTGTTTTTGTTTGTTTGTTTGTTTGTTTTAAATAGAGATAGGGTCTTGCTCTATCTTCCAGGCTTAAGTGCAGTGATGTAAACAAGGCTCACTGCAACTTCAAACTCCTGGGCTCAAGCAATCCTCCCGTCTCAGCCTCCCCAGTAGCTGGGACAACAGGTGCACACCACCAGGCTAATATTTTGTTTTTGTTTTTTAGAAACAAGGTCTTGCTATTTTTCTCAGGCTAGTCTCAAACTCCTGACTTCAAGTGACCCTTCTGCCTTGTCCCTCAACCCCAAAACACTGGGATTACAGGTGTGAGCCATGGTGCCTGGCCATCCAGTAGCTAATTTTTGAACTTAAAATATAATGTAAGTACTTTACAGTGTCCTGCATGATCTAGCTCCCACCTACCTCTGGTTTTGATTTTTTCTTATCTTCCAGTACTCTTTCTCTTGCACACTAGACTTTAGGTATATTGGCTTTATGCTTTCCTTGACACACCAAGTTCTCTCGTACTTCACAGCCTTTGCACTAGCTGTTCTTTCTGGATTTCTGCTCGTCAAGTATTCATACAGCTGTTTCCTTCTTGTTATTCAAGTGTTACTCCTCAAGTGGATTTTCTGACCTTCCTCTCTGAACTAGCTACCAATAGCTTAATTCTCTGCATTGCATCAACTGCTATCTCATATATTTCCTTTTAAATAATTTGTTTGCATGCTTGTTTGTAACCTCTTTTCCTCCATTAGAATGAAAGCTTCAGGAGAATTGGGTCTTGGTTTTATGTAACAATGAACACCAGGACCAAGAACAATTCTTGAGCTTAATACATATTGTTGTCTTAAAAACAGTAAAATGTTGTAGTGAGCAACAAATAATTTAATAAAGAAATTAAGAGCACCACCAGCTACCACAAGCAGCGTGGCCTATTATGTTGCTAATGAAGGTCACTGTCTCCTAAACACCAACTCATATGAGCCTTAAGGATAGCGCAAAAGAAACAGTTTATAAGTACTCTAAACACATTGTAAGTCACTTTAAAATCCCTAATTAAGTTCAAGGGGTTCAAATTTGAGGTTTAATGTGAAGATATGACCTAAGGAAACCTTTTTGAGAGACTCCTTCAGTTAGTCTTGTGGTGAAATCTCTGAGACCTAAATGACCTCTTTGATTGGTATGCTAGCTCACATCTATTGTCTACCAATAGCACCTTTGTCTCTCCTTTCAGAGAGGGAGCACCTTGCTGCTTCCTTAGAATAGAGCAGGCAACTGTAAAATGGGAAAGATTAGATAAACTCTGTCCTTAGGAATGAAAATAGTCTCCTTGAACCAGCTACACAGAATGTAAGAAAGTACCATGACTATGAGAACTATGCAAACATTATGGGAACTTTAACTTTCTTGTATTGACAAACCACTTATAGAGTGGTTGGCAATAAATTTTTAAAAGTCTGTGAGCTGACTTTTCAGAAAAAAAAAAAAAGGGAAACTGGGGAGATGTTTTCTACTCCTCAGATTATCCTGGGGAATATGAACTCGCCCAAAAAGTTATATGTAGCAGTTCTACAAAAAATAGGAAAAGAGGCTGAATCTTTGGAGATGAAGTAGTTCAGAAGTGCCCCAAGGAAGTTGTCCAGGGATTAAAGATGACCCTGGTGATTTAGCTAAGAGACTCTCAAGTTTTTCCAAATCAAGCATCTAACAAAGAGTATTTAACTGAATTGTTCTAAATTTCCTAATTTGAAAAACTGGGATGTGATCATGAAAAGATTCTTTCTTAAAAAATTATTTTTGTGTTTCTTGGCAATGCTGCTTCTGTCATCACTAAAAGCAAGAAAAATTATTTGAAGAAGCTAGATTCTCATTAAAAAATTCAGTGTCAGTTTGATTCTACAAGCTATAAAGATTTTGGCTCATGGAGTGCTATGGATTTTAAGTAATATGAGGTCAGAGTCTGATATGGTTTGGCTGTGTCCCCACCCAAACCTCATCTTAAATTGTACTTCCCATAATCCCTATGTGTCAAGGGAAGAACCAGGTGGAGATAATTGAGTCATGGGGGCAATTTCCCCCATGCTAGTCTCAGGATAGTAAGTTATCACAAGATTTGATGATTTTATAAGGGGCTTCTCCCTTCACTCAGTGCTCATTTTTCTTTCTCCTGACACATATGAAGAAAGATGTGTTTGCTTCCCCTTCTGCCATGATTGTAAGTTTTCTAAGGCCTCCCCACCCTTGAAGAACTGTGAGTCAATTAAATCTCTTTTTTCCAAATTACCCCATCTTGGGTATGTCCTTAAAGCAGCATAAGAACGGACTAATACAGTAAACTGGTATGAGGAGTGGGGTGCTGCTATAAGGATACTCGAAAATGTGGAAGTGACTTTAGAACTGGGTTACTGGCAGAGGCTGGTACAGTTTGGAGGGCTAAGAAGAAGACAGGAAAATGTGGGAAAGTTTGGAACTTCGTGGATACTTGGAGGGCTCAGAAGACAGGAAGATGTGGGAAAGTTCGGAACTTCCTACAGTCTTGTTGAATGGCTTTGACCAAAATGCTGATAGTGATATGGACAACAAAGTCTAGGCTGAGGTGGTCTCAGATGGAGAAGAGGAACTTGTTGGGAACTAGAGCAAAGATGACTCTTATTTATGCTTTAGCAAAGAGGCTGGGGACATTTTGCCTCTTCCCTAGAGATCTGTGTAACTTTGAACTTGAGAGAGACAATTTAGGGTATCTGTCAGAAGAAAATTTCTAAGTGACAAAGCATTCAAGAGGAAGCAGAGCATAAAACTTTGGAAAATTTGCAGCCTGATGATGCAATAGAAAAAAAATTTTTTTCTGGGAGAAATTCAAGCCTGCTGCAAAAATTTGCATAAGTAATGAGGAGATGAATGTTAATCACCAAGACAATGGGGAAAATGTCTACAGAGCATGTCAGAGACCTTCCTGGAAGCCCCTCCCATCTCAGGCCCAGAGGCCTAGAAGGGAAAAATGGTTTCCTGGGCCAGGTCCAGGGACCCCTGCTCTACGCAGCCTCTGGATGGACTTGGTGCCCTGTGTCCCAGCCACTCCGGCTGTAGCTAAAAGTGGCCAAGGTACAGCTCAGGCCATTGTTTAACGGGGTACAAGCCCCAAGCCTTGGCAGCTTCCATGTGGTGGCAGTCCTGCAGGTGTGCAGAAGAATTAAGGTTTGGGAACCTCTGCCTAGATTTCAGAGGATGTATGAAAATGCCTGGATGTTCAGGCAAAAGTCTGCTGCAGGGGTGGAGCCCTCACAGAGACTCTCTGCTGGGCAATGCAGAAGGGAAACGTGGAATAATAAAAATGCCAATCATATTGAGGAAAGAGCTTTTTCAACAAAGGAATCAGCAAGTACAAAAGCCCTAAATATGCATATGCCTCTTTGTTTCCTTTATTCCCACTTCAACTTATCATTCTAATATCAAATTCTTTTCAAGTCTTGTAGAGTGAACTTAATTTTGATCTCTCTTGTATCTATTTAGTATTTCCTCTGGGTTTAAGTGCTCCTTCTTCTTCTTCTTTTTGTTTTTAAGAGACAGGGTTTTGCTATGTTCCCCAGGATGGTCTTGAACTCCTGGGCTCAAGGGATCCTCCTGCCTCAGCCTCCTGAGTAGCTGCGACTACTAATGAAGGTTTAAGCCTTCATTACTTCTTGCTCCTCATCCATTTCCTGTTCCAGTGCAACCCTTGTATCACTAAAAAATTAACCTTTCTAAAAGGGAAACTCTGCAACACCATACTCTTGCTCTAGTGACTCCCATTATTCACTGAACTAATATAAACTTTGAAGACTAACATTCGAATCCTTTTATGGTATAACCTCAAAAACATATTTCAATTCTCTTTTATACTGCTATACTCAACTCTACTGAAATGAGTGTTCAGACATTCCTGCCTCCAAAGTTGCCCCTTATGTCCTCTCCATTGGACTGACTGTCATCCCTTCAAACCCAATATGGGCTAGTCATAGTCCTGCAAGCCCTATCTCAAATCACCTTTTCCTTTAAGACCCTTTGGATTTCTCTCTCTTTTAACCCACTTTATTCATTCTCTATGGCTTTGTCATATTTTGTCCTAGAGTGTGGTTATGTGCAATGCACATCTGTCTTCTTTCTCTATACCTCTTACTATACTACAGATGTTTAAAACAGGGACCATATGTTATTTATTCTTGTACTAGTGTAGTGCCTCATACATAGTTGGCACTGAATAATATTTGTTGAATAAATGAATGAGTTTGTCAAATCTGAGTTTGATTTACTAATATTTATTTCATGATACCCCAACTTGTTTCCCTCTTATCACCCCTCTTACTCATCCTCGTGAGATCTATATGCAAAAAGGCAGAAAGTAGGGAGGAAATGCAGAGTCCTTGTTTTGAAACAGTCTAGTTAGTTTCAAGCTGCTCAAATGATTAGAAGTTTATATTGAGGAACATTAAAAATATCATTTTAGTCCTGCATAATCAGTACAGTATGAGATAAAAACTTTCAGTGAAATTCTAATTGGTTGATTTTCTGCTCAGGATATAAAACTGCTTAGCACCATTCAGTGCTAACAAAAATACATGATCACAATCTCAGAACCTTATACTTACCACATTACTGCATGTTCTGTATCGGATATTTCTTCCTTCACAGCTCCTAGGTTGCAAAAAGAAAAAAAAAATTACTACTTATGAAAGGCTCAAAATCAGAAATATTTTCTCATAAAAAATTTCCTCTAAATACTAGTAAAAGGGCCTCTCTTTTCTTCTAAGCATGTTCTTAGAGGGGTTACTATTAAAAATCAAATGAGCAGATCTAAAGAAGTTATAGATGTAAATTGTTCTCTATAAGGGTTGAAACTAAGTATTTGTCTTGCTTCAAAAATCTTCAAAATAAGTGCGTAGTGCATATTTAATCAAATAACTGTTAGTTCAAACTTTCCTGAAAAAACTGATATTCAATGAATTCTTTCTTATTTCTGATATAAAACTGAAGATATATTTCATTGAAAAACTTAGATCTTGAAAATAAATTGGAATTAATGGAATTAATATTCAACATGTCTTAAAATCATAATTCTAAGAATGTGGAAAGTCATAATTCTTAAAAAAATTATTTTTATTTCTAAAATATATGCTCATTATGGAGGTTTTGGAAAAGACAGATTACCAAAAAGAAAAAAAAGAAGTCCCCTGCTAGTTGCCTCATCTAAAGACAGTCACTATTATTTTGATTTATTTAGCCCTTTCCAGTATAAATAAAAAAATCACATCACTTATGCAATTTTGTAGCCTGTTTTTGTTTCCATTTAAAATATTTTGGGACGCATTTTCTCACAGTATTAAATAACTTTAAAAACACCATTTTGAGAGCTACATAATATTCTAACAAATGATGTAATTTTTTGCATAATTATTCTTTCATTATTTGTCATTTAAGTAATTTCCACTTTGGGGTTTGATAAATGATAGTATGATAAACCAACTTTGTGCTTATGTTTTATCAAAGTTTCTGACTGTGTTTTTTGAATAGATAAATTTCTAGAAGAGAATTACTAGACTAAAGGGAATGAACTTTTGTAAGTTTCTTCATAAATATTGCCAAAATGCATTCCATAAAGGTTGTACCATTACATACTCCCACCAGCAATACATGGGAGTTTCCATTTTACTGAATTCTTATGAATAAAAACAATCAACTTTTGATAAAACATTCAATGTTGACAGTTAAGTCATGAAAAACAGTACTGTACTCTTTTCAAAATATGTCACACTTTTTTAAAAAGTAAAAATATACTACAAAATCCTCTGAGAATGATTATACTAATACCTAGTACTTTTAGAATTCCAGGTACATTTATAAGTTTGTAATATGTATAAATTTATTTAATATTCTCAAAATATTAATACCATTTTGAATACCATCATCATATCCACTTTACAGATGACAAAACTGAAGCTTAGGAAGGTTAAGTAACTTGCCAAAATGACACAACTATTAAGTTGTAGAGCTGACATTTGAAACAAAGCCATCTGGCTTCAGAACTCATACACTCATGATCACAATGCTTTAATGCCTCCTAATTTACTTTTTTGTTCAATAAACGTCCACAGAGCTTCTGTTATGTGTTTGGCAATGAAATTACTATGAAGAATACAAAGAAGAATGAATATGACTTGGTCTTTGTTATTAAGAAAATTAATCATATAATTTGATGTAAGAAATGCGTATAGTAATTGTATTAGGTCTTGAGAATGTTACCAGAAGGAAAATGTCATCTGACAATACAATGATACACAGACTATCTTAAAAATATAGAAAGGTTCCTATTCCTAAAGACTTGACTGTAATCAGACTGACTATTACTATGCATTAAAAATAGAAAAGGAATGTCTGGCCAGGCATTGGAACCACAGAAATAAGGAGCATGACAAAGACACATGTTTGTCAGTGTCCAGTCCAGCAATGTCCGAGACAAAAGGCCAATGAATTTCAAGTCTTGCATGTCCCATTGACAAGACTGCCGCAATCTCCACATAGATGACTCATGCTGACCTTGCTGATACCAATGAACATTCAGCTCATCCAAGGACCGCCCCTCATTATGGTATCAGGTTGACCAAGCTACTTACCAAGAGTGATCTGGATTTTCGTGACTGCTGAGAACAGAGAGTGCTGGCCATGCTGATGTGGGTACTCTGGTCCATGTGATGGACAGTTCTATTCCTTGCTGTAAATTAATCAACTGGCATTCTAGTTTGAAATATTCATCTCATGGGCTGAGTCATTGTGAGTACACGCCCAAGAAAAGGATGTGTTCTTGGTGCTATTGCTGAAAAATATCAGGTTTCTGACTCTAACAACATGAGAGCTAGGTTCCAGTTGACGGTAAATTTACAAGGTAATTGAATTCTGCAACTGGGAGGTCTTTGGTAGCATCCCATCTAGACATCAGTGTTTGCAAAATATGGTATGCTTTTCAATTTTGAAGTTCCTGCTGCATATGTACCACAGTGCAGTGCTTAAGAGTACCCAGTTTAAAAACAGCCTCTGCATTCTAGAATCTTGGCTCTATACTTCAGTTCTATCTTTGGTAAAATGGGATGATATTACTTGTCTCCTGGAATTATGAGAATTAACTGAGTAAGTATTTGTGAATCACTTCAGACAGTGTCTAGGACACAGTAAGCATTATGTAGACATTTGATAAATTAATTAAGTACATAATAGATGTAAAAATAGAATAGCTATTGAAAGGAGGTCAAGGATATATGGAGAAGAAACTAAGCAAAGGCATAGAGGCACAAAAAGATTTGGTGTGCTCCCAAATTTTCAAACAGGTCTGGTTTTTTGGGGTTTAGGGTTTATGTGGGGAATTGTAGTAGATGAGTGAAATACCTTCTTTTTTTTTTTTTTTTTTTGAGACGGAGTCTCGCTCTGTCGCCCAGGCTGGAGTGCAGTGGCCGGATCTCAGTTCACTGCAAGCTCCACCTCCCGGGTTCACGCCATTCTCCTGCCTCAGCCTCCCGAGTAGCTGGGACTACAGGCGCCCGCCACCTCGCCCGGCTAGTTTTTTGTATTTTTTAGTGGAGACGGGGTTTCACCATGTTAGCCCATGTTGGGATGGTCTCGATCTCCTGACCTCGTGATCCGCCCGTCTCGGCCTCCCAAAGTGCTGGAAATACCTTCTAATTTTGAACTTTGTAATACACAGAGGGGAACCACTGAAGGTATTAAAACAGAGGAGATTCAATGGTGAGATTTTGCTTTTAAAAGGTAAACCCTGGTGTTAACTATTGGGACTTTAATACTATTTGTTTTTCATTCTTTTTTTATTTTTTATTTTTTACCTAACCTTATATCCATGAAAGAAATAATGGAAACAAAACTGAATTAGGAGCCTGAAGATCTGGGATATAGATTTTGTTCTTCCACTTGCATAAACCTCTTGTTCTCTTAGGGTCTTAGTTTCCTTATCTGCCAAATGAATATAGGAATACCTATGCATAAAGTTAGGATCACCAACTGAAATAATGTACAAAAGCTCTGTTAAAACGCCAAATGAGCCTTTTCCCAGATATTTTAATCTGCAAATACCTACACAAATTTTACAGGCATCATTGAATAACAGGGGATATTAGCATAGAATGTAAAAGGTTGATTTAAATACTTATTATTTTGGAAAAGCAAAACAAAACAAAAGCAAAGCAAAGAAAAACTACTTGTCATAATTTCCAAAGAATATCCTGTAATTGTCTAATGCCTAATATGGATTTGCAGGTAATTTATGGATGCCTCTGAACTATCTTCCCTTTAATATATTACTTTTTTGAGAGCTTCTTTAATTTGACTGAAATAGGATATGAAGGTGGTAATGCTTAAGTATGGCAAAGTGATCATTATTGAAAGACACTATCAAATTGTGGATTATAATAGAAACACTAGTCTCTACTATTTATTCAGTGCCTGCTATAGGTAGTTGGCCCAGTGTTAGGTATTCTGTATATATTATCTCTAATCTTCCAACAACTCTACAAAATTTTATTATTCCTATTTAATAGATGAGAAAACTGAGGCAGAGAAAGCTGAGGAGGCTTAAAGCTACATACACAGAAAAGTGAACCAGGGATTGGAATTTAGGCGTGACTAACTCCTAAGTCTATCAAACAATAAGAAAAGGAACATGATGTGCTCAAGATACATAGTATACTAACACTAAGCTAAAGATCCGGAAAGCTGAGAGGGGAATTGGCCTGAGGGTTGACTGTGCCTTGTTGTTATTATATCAGTTTATAAACTATTTCTCAATTCTGGTAAATCCACTTCTAGAAAAACATAGGTAGACACACATTGGAACATTTCCAAGAAAACCATGCTCATCAGTAAAATGCAATGTGAAAGAACTTCAGTGCAGAGAAGCTTATATTTTTGAAAGTTCAAGTTTATGAAATTTGAATATAAATTTTACATAAGTAGCTTAGTGACTATTCCACCACAAGGATTTAATTCCTGCCAAGTGTGAATTTCTTCATCCAAGGCATTTATTTGGGCACAAAATCCCTGTCTGAGAATTAAGCAGTAAAAAATATTTTCCTTCATTTTTTTAACAGGTCGTTAATACAAAACAGCTGAGGGATTTCTTTCACATTTAAACAAAGTAAAATTCACCTCTGGTGATGAAAACAAACATTAGAAATTTCAGTCCAAAACGATGTCTGAGGAAAGCTGTAGACAAATGATAGGAGAGGATTTAAATAAAGATATCCTCCCAATATAAACCATAAAATAGTTACAGTACTGTGTTTAGGCAGTTCAGAACCATATCAATTATGAACTCAGAAACTGGGTGAAGTATGAAAGAACAAAATATAAGTATTAGAATATACTTTAATATAAACATGTAATATGCACACGTATATTTCTTGTAGCACTATTCACAGTAGCAAAGACATGGAATCAACCCAAATGGCCATTAATGATTAACTGGATAAAGAAAACGTGGTCCATATATACCATGGAATACTATGTAGCCATAAAAAAGAAGCTCATGCCCCTTGCAGGGACATGGATGGAGCTGGAAACCATTATCCTCAGCAAACTAATGCAGGAACAGAAAATCAGTCTCACCTATAAGCGGGAGCTGAACGATGAGAACA